TGCTTTCTCCCTTTCCCTCTGCCTGCCACTCTGCTTACTTGTGCTATGTCAAATAAAATCTAAATAAATAAACAAAAATAAAGATTTTATTTAGAGAGAAAGAGAGCAGGGAGAAGAGTAGACGGGAAGGGTGAAGGAGGGGGAAAGACTCTCCAGCAGACTCTGCCCTGAGTGCAGAGCCTGACCCCATGACCCTGAGATGATGACCTGAGCCGAAACCAAGAATCAGATGCTTCACTGACTGAGCCATCCAGGTGCCTCCGTCAGTGTTCTACACCAAAATAATACAAGAGCAAATTGGAGTAAGACACCTGGCATGACCACACCCTCATTGTGGAGGTCACGGCCCTACCGGGCTACAGGCTCACAGCATAATGAGCACTAAAAGATCAAAGCTCAATGTGCATGCGATGCGTCTACTTCGGAGACTGCCACTTAGTGCGATACAGGTCTCAGAGCAGTCCTCCGCCTACCCAACCCCTCCAACCAGCATGCCTTTAATGAGCCCATCACTGTTGGGGGCCAGCTCAAATACAAGAGCTGACGCAGAGCCCTTCAGGGCGGCAGGTCCACTGGTCAGGAAACAATCCTAGGTACGCCTCCTGGTTCTACCGTCAGCAGTCTGCTCGCAGAGGGAACGGGGTACGGCCCAAGAAGTTTCTCCTTTCACCTTAAGCGCCAAGCTCCAGCCCTGGGCTGTCAGGGAATCTTCCTGCTGTCCTGCATCCTCTCGTTAAGTGATGTTAGAACTTGGGAACTGGTCTCCATAAATGACACGAGAGGGAGGATTCTGTGTATACGCACGGAGGGTTATGAGAGGAAACTGCTGGCTTGAGTTCTGACGGTATGATCAGGGCACTTCTCTGCATTTGGGCTAAATCAGTTTTCAAACTGATCTGTGTGGGAGCCCCAGGGTCTGGGAGTAAATGCTTTTTATCTGTTCTACATTCCGACCTTTCTGGCTATCATATTTTGAAGGGTTCTATTTGCTAGAAGCAAGGAAAACCAACCAACCAAACCTGAAAGTTGGACTGACCTTCTGGTGCCTAAAACATTATAAACAACATTAGAATAACCCATCTCCTTGCTCCTGACTCATTTACAAGGCAAGTGAATGAATGAGAGTAGCAACAAGGAGATGGCACTTTGTCCTGGTTTCAAAATTGTAACCGTATTAATCTAGCTCATTCCTCAGGCATTTTCTGAATAAAACAATCATATAAACCTCCAGTCTGTGGCCACTTCAAGGACACAATCCTCCGCCTTCAGCAAGGGGTGCGAAGTAGGGACAGGAGCCACATGTGGCCCCAGAAAGCCACTGCTCCCTCCACACCAGCTAACGTCTGCTCGGTGCCCTCCCAGCCAGGACCCTTCCAATTTGCCCTTTTACCTTTAGCACACTCTGTTTCGACACGAGATTTAATATGCCTACGAATTACTATACAAAATGTAGTTTCAGACATTCCAAAGACAAAGTACTCCAGGGCCACTGATTATCAAGAATTTTTACTTGTTTGACTCTTGGGGCTTCAAGTCTTAGAGGGACGATTTCCCTGCTGGCATCCCCTCACCCCAGCCCCCACACCAAGGAAATACCAGATTTGAAGACACCATGGCACTGGGGCTCGGCTCACAAGGTTTAACTCAAGCAAAACAAACAAAAAACAAACAAACAAAAAAACAACAAAAACCCACTAATAACAGAGCTTATTCTGCACAATTAGTAAAGAAAGACACCAAACCATTTAAACATAATTTATGTACATTTATGGCTTTATACAATAATAGCAAAGATTGTTCTTGTGTCTGTAAGTACATCAGCATCATCAGGCACTTCTCAGAGAGTCTTGGAACAGGAACATGGAATCCACACTGTTACTGAACTCGAGTAGTGAAATGCGGGAGGGCGTGGCCACATCCTGACGGTCTCCTCTGGCCACCTGGCCACCATGCCAGGCTGTGCGCACCGCCCTCGAGGAGGAGGCCAAGAGTAATGCAAGGCTGTTTTGTTTGCATAAACCACATAGCATTTTTTAATGAATGATTACTCCCAAACCAAAACCACAAGAGAAACTTCTCATTTAGAAGTCAGTTATAAATTAAGTACTCTTAAGAGCTGAATGTCAGAATTTCAAGTAAGTCTGGGGGAGGGAAAGGGGTGTTGGTGACATATACCCAGCAGTTGTTGAACAAGTCCAAATTGTCTAACTTTTGGAAACATTTTTTTCTTTCCCGTTTTAAGTGTCCTCCTCTTCTTGGTACGTTCCATTGATTTACTGCCCACTGGGATACAACATTTGCTAATTAATTTAGACTGTCAGTTTGCTGAAGCAGAATTTTGCAAGTAATGCGTCTATTACCTAAATATATTCCATACGTCTATATTACGGAAACAATACTTTATATTTAAAATATCAGAATAGCTCTATAATACAATATGCTTTTAATAACAGTACAAACCAGAGGAAATAAATCAAACAAGGCTGCATAGGTGATATCATTTGCACATTTCACAAAGCAATCATGTACAATAACTGATATACTAATTACTCCAGAAAGTCAGTATTCGTACAGAAAAAGAATTACCAGAGGTCACATAATGTTTGTTTTCAAAATAGACAAGGTGCCTTTCACTGGACTTCACTGTACCCCAGAGAGATACCCAAGACTCATGTCAGAATCTCAACACAAAGAAAAAACTGGAAGGAAGGAAAAAAAGATATTTACATAGACTCAGGAGGAAGAAACATCTTTTTAAAAGTTACTCTAGGATGTAGTAAGATTTTAAGAGTGATTTCAGCTGTAGTTGCCTCTTTAATGAACAAATGGGGGACTCTAAGGCTCGTTGTATGAGGGCACAAGAGGAGGAAAGAAGGTGGACACAGCAACAGGATTGGGAACCCAAGGGACTCTGGCACCAACGAGTTCTATCACATATGCAGAAGGCACTGCTTAGAGGAATGATGGTTTCCAAAACCAGACATATTTTGGAGTGGCCAACAGTGAAGATGGCTGGAGAGGAGGTTATTCAATGAATTTTCAAAATAGCAGAAGTCACAGTGGGAAGCTTACAATAGAGGTGGCCTCCTATAGGAAAAATCTTTCAGGAACAATTGTGTTCTTGTTAAACATGTAGGAAAAACCAAGCCAACAGATCTGCAATTCACATGCAAGACAAAGCAAGTGAGATCCAGGCTAAGTACACAGAAAGAAATCAGAGCCCTCTCAAAATTGCAAAAGGAACACTTTTGTACACCTGCTCCTTTTATTGTGCTGATTAAGGGCATTCCACGTGACTTGAAAATACTGATGGGATGCAAAGCCAATTAACCTGGTCTGTCAGTTATAGGTAACTGCAAAATATTAAAACATAATGACACAGAATTATAGCTGAGGTTGCTAAAGGCTAAAAAAATTCCCCAATTTCTAACTTACACTAAGAGCCTTGAAAATAAATTCAAGAACAACTTACAACTGGCTTGTCGGGTTTTCCAATTAACTGCCCCAATTTTTTTAACAAGCTCTAGTCCCTTTGGTAGCCATCTGCACTCAGGGACATGAAGTGTTCTGCACCTCAGTAAAGTCCTATTTTAAATTTTCCTCCTTTTACCTAAATTTCCACAGTGTGCTGTGTAATCTGCAGGACAGAAGGGAGGGAGGGATAAAGTGTGTGAGTCTTAACATAATCCTTAGAGGCAGAGCTACAAAACCACCTCCACCTACACCAAAATAAAAGCACAGAAGGATGAGGGGAAACATTTGCTAAAGCTCAGCGCAGAAAGGTTAGGTTGACCCCCAACTACCAGTTCTGAGAGAGGAGTATGAGCACGGTTTTAGACGCAAGACTCCCTTTTTGAGCCACAGACATCATCACGAGGCCCCTCGGGAGCAACTGAAGGAACACAGCACACAGGCATCTATCAGAGGACTCAATGCTCTGCATGCACTTAGTTCACGGGAAGACAGGAGCAGATGGGAGTTTTTTCAAATACATACATAAAAAAAAAAAAAATGTATTAAGTTCTCCTAGACATGAAACGCAAAATGTCTGTAACTATACATCGCTCTCCTGCCAAAACAGAGCCCAAAACGTTGAGTATGCAAGTACTAATTACAATGATTTTAAGATTAGTCAGAAACACCGCGTAGCATCCCGAAGTGTACAAACCAGTTAAACATGTATAAAATTAGTACTAATCCAGTTAGAAATACAAAATGAAAATTATGGATGCTGCCTCAAATATCTGGGATTCCACAAATTTACAAGCAGACTATGTAACAAAGTAGACTCTAGTTTTAAGAAAACATTACAGTTCAATATCTATTCCAAAATGATCTCAAGTCCCAACGATAACATCAAAAATCATTTATCTGGAAATTAGAACCATTTAAATGTTTGTACAAATTTGCAAATAACAAAATAAACAAACAAAAAAAATAGAAAAGACCTGTACAAGGCTGGCATTTAATCTATTCCCCCCCCCCAAAAGGTGTTTGACAAGTCCATGAATTCAGCAGACTGATAACAGGCTATCGGTTCTCATGTGAATTGTGTGGCTGTGTGAACAGGCCCAAAGCTATTCCACGGAGGCCCAGGATGGAGAGCTTGGTTCTCTGTGGTTCATCTGTTCAGCGGAACACAGGTAGTACAAACGAAAGTCTAACTTATCAAAGACATGAGACCATCACAGTATTACAAAAAGAGTATAAACTTTCCTTGGACCAAATGGATATATTTAAAAAACAAAACAAAACAAAAAACCAAAAAACACACAAATACAATTCTGTGGCTACTGCTTATGTACAAAACTTGAAAGCACACCAGGATTCAAACGTCTTTTCTGCAATTATATGGTGTAGTGAGTTTGGCACTTCATTGTAATGAAATTTCCAATGGCACAGTCCTTATCTACAGCAGCACAGAACCTGCAAACATCGGGCAGACATCCTGTACAGGAAAAGTGTCTTCACTGCCAAGTCTGACGAAAGGAAAAAAGAAACTTTTTTTTTTTTTTTAATCAAGAAATGAAAAGGAGGGGTGAAGGACATCTTTGGACTGCTTCTCTCAGTTCCTGCTGTCAGACACTCTGAAGTACTTTTAAGTGTAGCCTAGAAAAAACACACAATGAAAATACAGCCAAATTAAAATCAATTCAATTTAACATATTAGAATGACAGACATACTTGGGGGTGAGGGGAAGCTAGAGCTTTCTCAACAGCTCCAACATCATTTGGTGGGGGGGGGGGGATTCAACTTAAGAAAAAACTGCAGTAGTTGATTTGTATCAAACATATTCACTTATGGAAGAGCTACTAAAAAGATGCAGCCATCTAACTGTCAGAAGAAAATCTTTAAAGCAGTCAAAGGAAGCTTCCTTATGCTTTAAAAAAAAAAAAAAATTTACGAGCTGTAAAAAGGGCAGAGAGCGCATGATAAAAGATGCCTCTCTACAAGGAACAGCCAGCTGACATCAGAGGAGGCCAACTGTGGAAGATACACGGCAAGTTACTGTGTTCCTCTCTTTCAAGCTCTGGCTTCAGAAGGTCTTTTGATAGTGGGGTGATCTTACCTGTTCATAACTCACTCTTAGCCTGACACCCAGCTATGTGTCGTCGTCTTGACGCTGTGTGGGAAGCTTTGGTTGGGCAACACATTGTCAAAGTTAAAATCCAAAGTATCTCCATCCATGAGGTCGTTCCGAATGATGGACTCCATGTCACAGTCCAAGCGCTCAATAAACATGCCGTCCAAGTCACTGGGGAGCTTCTCCTGGTGGAGAATGCCCATCCTGCCATAGCCATTGCAGCTGCTCATGGAGGAGTAGGCCCCCAGAGTGTTCATCTGCATGGGGTGGGACAGAGGCACTGGTAGAGCTGTCTTCACTGGGGCCAAACGGTTCATACCCGAGGTGTGGGGCATGGTGTTGACCGCGTGGGGCAAGGCACGCCCATTAACTGCAGATGTTGGCTGGCTATGTCCAGGGTGGGTGTGGGAGCTGGGGTTCATCATTTTGTTATGAGATGCCTGGCTGCCATAGGTTGACATGACCGAATTAGGGCCCATCAACACATTCTGACCAAGGACCCGGCTGTTGGGTTGGGCGACCCCAGGATCAACTGCTGTCATAATGTCATTATGGGGAGGAGAGTCAGAAGTAAGCAACTCCTTCAAGAGTCCCGGCGCACAGTTATACTGATTCATACCTCCATAGCTCGATTTGTTGTCCTGAAGTGTTTGCATAGGCATTTGGGGCAAAGGGCTCATGCTGGACTGGCCGTATGTATATTTTTGGTAGTTTGGGCTGGGTGAATTCAGACTGGTGTTTGGCGGTGCAAATGAGTAGCATGGTGTCTGCTGCATCATGGTGCCAGGTGAAGACTGGGTGGAAACAGTTAATGGCGTTGGTGATGAGAGAAGGTTGAGATTATCCAAAAGATTTTCCATATTTTCAGGATTGCTTATCTCAGACAGACTCGGTAGAGTAGATGCCATCTTTGCAGCAGATGGCGGGTACACCATAGAATGCACATCCCCATCTCCAAGATCATCCTGTTCGGTCATAATGGGAGAAAGTCTCCCACTAATAGTACTAGCATTTGAGCTAGTTCGAGGGCGAAATGTACTCCAGTTATCAAAGTCATCGTTGCTGTGAGAGCCAGGGCTCGCGGGCCACTTAGAAAACTGAGATCCTGGGCTGTCCCCAGCACCCTCCTGGCCAGACTGGAGGGATGCTTTCTTCTTAGCAGCCCGCCCCCGGCTCTTAGCAAATTTACTGTTGTTGTCCATGGAAGCAGCTCTTCTCCGGGGGGATTTTCCACTCTTGCCTCCCTCTGGATTGAGCATCCACCAAGAACTTTTTCCAGTTCCTTCATTCTGCACACGAATGAACTTGCTGTGTAGGGACAGATTATGGCGAATTGAATTCTGTAAAGCAAAACATTACGTTAGAAACACAATACTTCTCCAGTTGGAATACCTACTATTCAGTATAGGTAGACAAGTAAGACAAGTAAAAAAAAAAATTTTAAGTGTGTGGTACAGATTTCAATCTGTACAATCATATGGGCTCTGAACTTCACTATAAAAGCTCAAACCAGTACAAGAAAAACAGTATCTTATCTTAAAAACAGCATGTGCATCTTACTGTAATGAGGGGACAAAATTAAATAAGCACTATTATAGGCATCTTTTATATAGCTATATTTTATAAGGCAATTACACGAACTGGTTTTAAAGCCACTTAAGTTTCTGCTTGGCTACAATGCTATGCAAACAGCACTGTGTAACTAAGTGCTATCAAAAACCCTTCCCGTTCTATCACCCCTAAAACTACTGCCAGTTCTCTTCAGACTGCACATATGCCATTTACATAAGTGAGAAGTTTTATATTACTGGGCCCACATGATTATGGAAAAGAAAGAATTGAAGCAGGGTATATTCTTAGTTAAGAATTAAAAGCCTGAAAACTAGTAAAACCTAAATTCTTTTCTATTTTTCAAGTCCATTAGGCAAATATAGGTGAACATAAGACAAATAGGATCGTATTTCTTATTTTAGAAAGTTGAACTGCCAAAAAGGGGGAGAATTTAAATTCCAGTGTTGTTCACCACCCCCCTCCTCCCCAAAACAACCAGGAGTACATGCCAACTAACTGAACGTCAGTCACTGCATCGGAGGTTAAGCTCTGTCCAAAAAGACCCACTGGGTCAGGAAGAAGAAGCGTCGGCAGTACAAAGCGCCATGCTTCAGCCGCTAAGTATAGGGACTCCATGGTTAAATCGTGCCACGGGTATGCCTAACACAATTAGTAAAGAAAATCAACTTGACTTTGGGAGACTGCTTGGCCCCTAGATGTCTTAGGCTTATCTATAAAACAGAGATAAATAATAAACCCATTTAGGGCTATGCGAGAGATTGAATGACAGAGTTTATAAAATGTCCAATGGTGTCTGGCACATGGTAAGCAGTCCCCAAGAAGTATGTACCAGATCCCAACTTTGGGGGCTCAAGGATATTGCCAATCTGAACCCTGCTCCCCTCTTCCAATTCACTGGGAGTGTGGGTTGGAGCTTAGTGGTAAGGCAAGCATACACCCACAACTCCAAACATACAGGAGGCCAGAGACCGTCTCAAGCTTGGGCAAAAGCAGCAAAGCCAGGCTGCAAACAATAAAGCCCCAATCTGATTCCTCTAATGGATGCATGGTGAGACTGCCAGCACCTGGGGAGCCCCTGGGACATATGGAAAAGGAACAATGGGTTCCAAAGGAAGGACTCCAAGGGTCTCCTGTCCCTTTGTCTTGTGGCTTTTTGTTCCCCATATAGAACAGGGCACACAGCAGACCCTTCCTAGCTGCTCATTCAGCAGCCTCTGTCATCAGGGCCCTGAGCCCAGGTCCAGGAGGATTCTGGGGGTCCTAGACACCTGGGAGCAGGGCCTTGTGCATGACTTCCAAGCCTTCCCTGGCACCCTCTGCCAACCGGGAACAAGGCTTAGCAGACTGAGCCCCCTGGACCTCTTGTGGCCCCTCTCCCCGACCACAAGAAGGCTCTGGCTGGATCGTGGTCAGCTGGGGATGCAGCCACAATGTCCACATCCTTCTGCCACCCATGTGGGATGTAGATGCTTGAGTGCCCATCGCTGTGCCTGAAAGCCTTTGCACAGCAGGACGAGGCAAGGCTTCAACAAAAACGATGAATTCAAGTTCTTTCTTATTAAAAAGAAACTGGAAACAGAAAAGAAAAATAAATCTCCCTTTCTAAAAAGAGATGCGAAAGTCTGAGTAGAGTAAGGCCAGACAGCCAGGGCTGAGAAATCCCTATTTCAAAACACCCTCTGACCCTCTGTACTACATTCCACCCAAGAGTTGCAACAGAGCAGCGACATGACAAGCCCTTCTGCCAGTGCGTACCGTAAGTGTGGGGCAGACACGGGGCTTCTGGGCTGGACGCCGGGGTAGGTGTGCAAGTGGGTGGCAGCCAGTCTCTTTTGTTCTCTAGATTTTCCCCTTCCTTCCCATCTCCTGACCTATCCCCAACTCCAGACAAGCTCCGAGGAAGACTTTAAGTACATAAGAACCCCTAAAAGAGGCCAAGGACTACATTTCTACAATGGTCTATTTTTTTTTTTTAAGATTTTATTTATTTGACAGACAGTGATCACAAGTAGGCAGAGAGGCAGGCAGAGAAAGAGGAGAAAGCTGGCTCCCGGCTGAGGAGAGAGCCCGATGCGGGGCTCGATCCCAGAATCCTGGGATCATGACCCGAGCCAAAGGCAGAGGCTTTAACCCACTGAGCCACGCAGGCGCCCCTCTACAATGGTCTATTTTATTCCCAAAGAGTCTCCAAACCCTACAGAGGTATCTTAAGCACACACACCTATGTATGCTCCAAGAGCCACAGACTCATCTCCCGGGCCCACTAACACCAGCACACCAAGTTCTAAATCCGTCCTGAAGGAAGCAGGGCTGGGGATGGGAGTGGGGGTGTAGACCTGGAAGGGAGCCAAGCGCTCCGCCCCTGTGACATGTTCTATAGGGTGGAAGTCTGGACATTTGCACAATATTCCATCATGACTATCTTGTTCTTGGAACACAACAGACACACAGATAAGCCGCACGAAATCTCTGGAGGAGAGGAAGCTTGACTCCTGTCCTTTTCACATTTAGTTAATGATAAAGAGGGAAGATCCTCCCAGATAATGGCTTCCTGGCTGTCTGCACTGCCTGAGAGGGTGGTGCAGCTCTCCAACACACACGATAATTACATCAGGTCATTGGGACTGCAATTAGGGGACATTTTTAACAAGACTGCAGAATGTGTAATGATGAAATCTTTAAAAAGTTTAGAAAGCATTCAACTAACTCAGGTGGGACTAACTCCTGAGTCAACTAACTCCTACTAAGACTCAGACCTACTTCCCCCCCGCCAAAAAGGGGGTCCACAGCAATCCCCTACTTATCAAAACATCACGCTCCATATTTTTCTAAGAGGACATTTCAGGTCGCTCTTTGAGTAACAGAGCTGTCTTCTAACTTTGCCAACAATTAGAGAAATTTTTTTTCCAAACAGGAAAAGGTTTGCTGTGCAGGGCTTGTTACAAAAATTCCTGTTTTTCATACAGCCAGCGGGGCTCTGGTGGAGGGGGCAGGGGCGGCCAGTAGGTAAAGCTTGTAAAATGTGTGCTGCTATTAATGGTATTATGTCTGCAGATCCCTGTGGGACACAGCCATGGCTGCGGGAACCATAGTGCTCCTGTGAACCATGCAGCACAGCCACACATGACTGCCGGTGCTTGGAGCTACTCAGCTCTTGATGAACAGAACAGTACCTGAGGAACGAGGCAGGCTGTGGAAGACAGAAAACTTGGGCACTGCAAGCCACTTACCCAAATCCTGAGTTTTTACATGACGCCATTCGGGTTTTTTCCCCCCCAAAAAGACACATCAGCAAATTTCCTCTCCACTAGCTGGATTTCCCTGCAGCCTGGGCTTTTTACTAATGCTGAGCTGGATTTCCTCTGCACATACCCTCTCCGCAGCCTGCTCCCCAGACTGTGCCCCCAAGTAAGGCAGAACGTTCTTCTTGGGAAGTCCCACCTGAGACCTGAGGAACGCAGTGGGTCATGTCGGGGGCAGGAGCAGCTGCACAAGGTATGCATTCACTGTTCGGCCTGCTTCTGACTCCCAGGTGCTCGATTTCAGGAGCTCTATGGATTCCAAGCTGCTTATAGGCCAAGGGCTGAAGGACGGTTTTATTTCCTAACCTGAAAGCTCCTAGAAGATGCTCCGTGCATGTGCACGCACAAATACACACGCTCCGCACACAAGACAAACTCAATGCATGTCTGTTGACAGACGTCCCAAACCCATCACAGGGAAGACGTAATGTCTTACACATCTTTACCGATCTGTCCATGCACCGATTCATGGCAAATAACATTTGTTGGGACCTATGTTGTGCTAGGTGCAAGGAAGGGCAAGAGAAGGCATTAGGCAGAGTCTGCCCTCTAGGTGTTTTATGATCTATGATCTACCTGGGGCAAGAACAAGTCCACCTGAACAGCCACTTGGGACAAAAAATGATGCACAAACAACTGTCCAGGTACACGGACATTGTCCTGCCAATGGTCACCACCACCCAACCTCTTCCAACTGCTCTCTCAGCCCAAACGGCCCTCTCTTCTGGAACCATCCCATTCTAAGGCTCTCTGACACAGGACCTTGTTTACTCACCACAATTACGATTCTGCTATGTGTGGTCCCTTGAGGGAGGGCCTGGCTCCCCACTACACTGTAAGCTGCATGAGCTCGGGCCCTGGTCTGTCTTCTCATACACTGTATCCTCACAGCTCCATCACCAAGAGGCACTCAAGTATCTGTTGAATGGATTAATAGGTTCTGCGTTTACAGGGTTGTTGTGGAGATGAAATGAGATAACACAAGTAAAGTGCTTACCTCAATCAGTGTTAGCTGCCGTTATTATTAGGATAATGGTACCTACAAAATTACACGTCTGTGTTTTAAAGACTTATCTGTATTATAACCATTGGTCTTATTTACGATCATACCTTGCACTGTTGCCACTAACATAAGACTTTTACATGTAAGGTACTGGAAAAATAGACCAATTTGGGGTAAGAGCTAAGACGTTTTCTCTGTGCACTAGATGGTGTCTCGAGTGCTGTGGACAGGTGTTAATAAGGAAGGAATTCAGATACCAAAGCTGATCCATTACTACCCTTGCCAGCAAGTGTCACGAGAACCCTGAAGTCTTCTCAAAGGTGTGGACACCGAGCCTTGCATGTGGGCATCACGCACGGCTGTGGGCTTGCCACGCTCTGGGCTAAGCCAGCGTATGATGGGGGAGCAGTGGCAGGGCAGTGTAATCCCTGCCACTGGCCACAGTCCACAGACCACACTCTGG